CTTCTCTAATAGATCCCAAGAGAAGAGCGGCCGCCGGGCCGATGGCCGTGCCTATGACTGCGGTTGCAGTAGTTTCAGTGCCGCATCCGCCAAAGTCGGTTTATGTACGGCTGCGACTTCCGCTGCCATCGCTCCTGCCTTCGGAATGTCTTGTTATTCTCAATTTGCTGCTCGGCTCTTGAGTTTTTGCGCTGGGAAGCTTCCCGTGAACGACTGTCATGAGTAGAGCCCGTGACTTCATGCAAAATGCATATAATGCATAAAAATGCATATTCTGGGCTCTTCCTCCTGAAAATGCATATTCTGCGCTTTAGGGCATGATTCTGCATATCCCATATTTTCCCCATCGATTCTCGCGGGTCTCGACGCTGAGAGCGACGTACAGCCATGGTCAACCGAGAATAGAAGGGAACGGTGATGAATCGGATACAACTTCCCGGATTTAGACAAGTTGGCCTCCAGCGGGAAGAAAATTTTCCTGAAGTCTGCCGATCGAGTGAGCACATTCCGCGAGATCGCCCCGGAGTGCCGCTGCCACCCCAGCCAGTTCTGACAAGATGGGGTACCTGGTTGAACCCAGCCGTCTATTACGCCGACCACTTCGACTCATTTTCGAAGGTTTTGTAAGCTCTGGACGCCAAAGACGCTGCGAGCATCGGAGCGGCTGCTCAATTGGTGAGGAAGCCCTCTGTAAGGAATTATCGCTCTTATAAAAGCAAACTTCGGAGAGCTCCCGCATGCCATCGAGAAACTCGAACCGAAGGGGCTGTCTTTGGTAGGTCGCGTGGGTATCTTCGAGGCACTTGTTAAAGATCTCAAGAAAACACCCGGTGATCTTGGGGACTTGGTCCCTAGGAAATGCGATGCGGTTGTGATTCGTAATGGCGGCTTCAGTATTCTCAAGGATGTCTCGGACATACTTCAGGGGGGGCAGCTCCGCGGATAGTCTCATTGGTCGCGACCCCTCGGAGATAGCCTGCTTCAAGTACGCACCGATCACGTCGGTGGATGTTGAAAGGAGCTCCTCTAGTTTGAAGCACCTTCTCAGCGCCCGTCGTCAGAGTTTTACGTTTGAAAATTTGAAGATGCATCTCATTGTCTACTGTAACCCGTAACCTAAATTGTGCCTGTATTAAGCAGGATTGAGTCAATTCCAGAAAGTATCATAAAACCTGAACGAAGCTCCTATTTTTTTGTGCATATTTCTCTTTTTCAATGCATATATCGGCCCTTTTTCAGGGCATACTTGCATGCATATTTCCGGTTTTTATAGTGCATGAAGTCACGGGCTCTACTCATCAACCGCGAATGCTTCGGCCGTCTTGGCACCGCCCCCGCTGTCAAGAGATCCGTCAGCTTTAGCCGAATCGCACATTTTCCCGCGGCTCCGGCTTGAGTGGATCTGTTGAGTGCTCGTGTAACCGCACTCAGTCAGTCAGTGTCACAGGGTCCGCTTCAAATGTGCCCGAGTATTTGAACGGAGCCAGAAACTCGGAAGTTATTCTCCGTACCGGTCTGCCCGCTTTATCGAGTTTGGGGGCGATCCGAGGCGGAACTTCCGATGCCGTCTGAGGTGAGGCGTGAATGTGTGGAATCGGGAGTCAGCCGGCGTGAACCCTCAGAAGTGCTAAGCAGGCGGACAGGCAGGCAAGCAAACAGGCAGATGCGCTGCTGCTAAACCGAGCAAAGCCATTATCTGTAAGCGAGCAGCAATAGTAGATACTCTGAACGAACGTGAACACACCGGAAAACCAGTGGACGGTGTGAGCGATTTGTATGATCGTCGAGCTGAATGAAACGTTCGGCTTGACTGGGGTCATCTCGGCTCACCTGCGCTCGCCACAACTGAGCGACCCGGTCGACGCGAGTCAAGGAGATGGCGAGAATGGATCTGAGGTGAAATAGTACGTATCGAATTCACTCGAGATCCGAGCGGCTGGTAACGGTGCTTGTCGAGTCGACGGTCCATGCAGTCCGATCTGTCACCGATTTCACGCGACACGTGCCCGGAGGCAAATTTGTCGCGGCTGCTTAGAGCCCTCATTCCGGTTACCGTTGTCATTTGCTCTGGCAAGAGTCTTTGGCCGAATAGATGGATGGATGGACGTCTGCCTGCCGAATGGGCGGCTCGGTGAATGCCGTTCCGTTAACGGCGACTCCGCGCATCGCCAACGACATGGCTCTTTACTATGTCTCTTTGAAAGGTCGAATCGAGGCCGAGAGCTCGAGAGATCTCTCGGACTTCCTCGGATATCCGACGAGCTCGATTGGACTCGTCAGCGGGGAATCTCCCCTTCCCGGAATGCGCATCCCTCCAAAGTGGGGGCGCGATCGCGATTTCGGCAACTCAAGAGATCAGATACCTCGAGTCGTCTCCTCTCAGGCGAAGATCAATCTCAATCGCTGTGTTTATCGTCCGACCCTACACGTGTTCGCGTCCAATGTCGACTCCGGCTCCGACCAAGCTGAGCACGACAGAATATCGCTGGCTCGCGTGTTTGAGGATCGGCTGCGTTCTTCTAGAGAAGCTCAGCTGAAACTTCGCACTGAGGGTCAGTTCGAGCGTTTCCAAGAAGACGGCTGCGGCAGCAGCAGCAGAAATAAGAACAGAACTTCAAAGCTCCCTATTGATGGAATACAATGGAACACAAAAAGACGAATCGTTGAGAGAACAGTCGGGTTTTCTTCGGCAAGTGCAAGTCGTTTCCTTGTTTCATAGATTGCGAGCTCTCTTTCGTCGCGGCTGTCAACGCGCAAAGATGAGTTGGTGCGGATCTCTCGGCGAATGGCAAGGGCTCTAGAGCAATCAGCGGATAGTTTTTTGCGGGATTCAGGGGAGCAAATTATGCGCTAACGGTGGCAAGTCATGCTCCGCGTCGATCGTATGATGAGGATTCTCATCATAAAATCGTTTCCTCCCTGAAATTCCAATTCACATTGGAGCCCAGAAGCTCCGGGAATGCTCTGGTTCGTTCCGGGAGTACCGTCAACTTGTTAAATGGATGCGATCCCCCTAATTTTTTTTTCTTTATTTTGCCGTTTATGAATCTCGGCTCATTTGGTATTTTTCACGCCACCAATCCATCGTAGCCAATTAAGGAGCCCCTTCGCGTTCTGGTGAGCCCTCAAAGTTCCCATCGCTTTTAGGCGCATTTACTGTGCTCCGTGGTGATCCCCTTGATGTTGTTGCTGTTATCGTCGTCGTCGTCGCCATCATCATCGAGACTCTGGTCTCATTCATTCAGTCCGTGGTGGCGGTGGTTTGTGAATCGTGTTGATGTTGGATGAAGTTAAACGTGATCAGAGAGTTGCGGACTTTGTCGATTGAGCTATTTGGAAGCGATTTTGACGTGCTACGTGATTTCGCTACTCGGTGGATTCTTGCAAACTAACAGATAAACGGGTGCTCCGCTTCTTTGCGTAGACCCGACTCTTCGTTGAGAGCGGGCGGAGCGACGAGCAGGGCCGTGGTCTTGGGTGTCGCTGATGATGAAAATGGCTTTCGGAAGAGGGAATTCCGTGGGAAACAGTTTCCACCGTTTTCGCCGAGCGGAAATCTGCTGAAACCCGCAGGGATTCGGATGACTGAGCGTTC